TTAACGAATATCCCGGCTTAGTTAATGACCATGTTACTGAGAAATTTAAGGAGCATTGTTTTTTGTGTTATATATATATATATATATATATATATATATATATATAAAGGGGGAGGTTAGCAGGTTAGCGATCAATGTCACTCTTCTCCAGTAAATTATGAAATGTTACACTACAGTCTCGATACACTATTGCTCAACCAACTTGGAAGTCAGTATGGCTTTGGTAAAAATGCTAAAGTCGTCTAATTCCATCCCACAAATTAAGACTCGCAGAGTTTTTATTTTCTGAGTTTAGTAACATTACGTGCTTTGGACATTTTTCTTTTAAGAATTATAAATAGATTTTTAATAGCCTACATCTGCATCTAATAACTATTTCTATTCAGTGCACCTACGATGTATCATTCTAAATTCACTAAAATTTTATAAATACCTTGTTTCTTTGATAGAAATTCAAAGTTTCTGTGTGAGAATCATATTTAAAGCTTTGTATTCTACTTGTGAGAAAAACATTGCACCAAGATGGGTGAAGCACAGAAGCGATGAACCAGACATATATATATATATATATATATATATATATATATATATATATATATATATATATATATATATGGACTCTAACAAGTGCGTGATTTCATTTCATGTACTCATTTTATAGTGGTTAAAAAAGGATGAATTAACAAAATACTCAACTGTAGAGGAGAAAGATATACACACATAATATAAAAGAAAACTCAAATAAACTTTTCCTTAGAGCAGTCCGATTAATATAACCAAGGAAGAAAATATTATGTAGGCACAAGTCCTCGTGTTTTGCTTCACTGCCCAGATTTCATATTAGAACCTAGAGAAATTCTTTTAACGTTTTACCTTTATCTAAGTGTTATGCAAACAAGGCTTACGATACCCACTACCTACCTACTCAGTCAATACGTTGAAGCCATTAAAGACATGCAACGGGCAGGGATTTATACATTAGCAATATAATATATATTGCATCTATCTATCATTATATATATATATATATATATATATATATATATATATATATATATATATATATAAATTCAAACATAAATATATATATATATATATATATATATATATATATATATATATATATATATATATATATATATATATATATATATATATATATATATATATATATATATATATAAAATTTTAATAGTCTACTGTGGTAAAATATGCAGCTTAATGGACAGGATACCTATCATTTGTAAAGGCGTGTACACGAGATACATGTAAAATAAAATATAAGAAAGCTACTCCTGAAACTATATGTTTATCAACACGTATTTCGTGTTAAATGAATCTATTGATAAAGTATAAAACACGTATATAGACTTTAAATTGTGTACTTAAACTGTGCAGGTTTCATATTGTTCTATAGATTAGCAAAGTATAAAGAAAAAAAATATGCCTTTTTAATTAAATAAAACCAAACACCTTGAAAAAGTAATTTTACAACAAATTTTACAGGAATGGAATTTTTCTAGAATTAAACAAAAGAAGGGAATGAAAGACTTTAATTGTTAAGGACACTGGGCAAATTTTCAAACAAACTAATTATTCAACGTGACCACTGGCATCATTGACTTGTTTCAAGAGAGGTCATTGTACAAAATGACCTACGGTAAAGTATTTGCTTGTTCTATGCTGCTTTTAGATGAACATCCAGATTGATATACCATGACTGAAGAAATAATTTTGGATAAAAGCTCAGACATTACTTGCCTCCCTCTGCTATGATAGAAGTGTTCAAACTATTGTACAAAAGCTTCAAAAGAATCAAACTTCCTTACTTGACAATAGTCACTTTCAATGTCATGTCTCGGGCACACTAAAGTATTCAGCTGTTGAGAGAGAGAGAGAGAGAGAGAGAGAGAGAGAGAGAGAGAGAGAGAGAGAGAGAGAGAGAGAGAGAGAGAGAGAGAGAGAGAGATCATGCTGTCCTTCGCTTAGTCAAAACCGACCGTCAACTAAGACATTGGTGACTTTATTACAGTGCTTTCTTTTAAACAGCCTCTGTCGCGCTATTTCATTTATGTATTGATTTGTGATCCCAGGTTTTTGTCGCTTTCCAAATTTACCTTTTATTATTATAAGTGTGAGTTATCATATATAAATGGACGCATTTAAGTTATTTGAGAGACTGTCCCTATAAAGGCAGGTTTTCACCCTCTCGAAAAAAGACATGATATATTCTAGTATTTTGCATGTAAAATTCCGAATGCCTTGAAAATACCCAAACCGAAATGCATTTTTCTCATTGATAAACTTGATATTTAAAATACATTATAGGATGGGAAAGGGTTAGAGCTTTTAATGATAATTATTCCATAGTGCTTCTCACGACAATTTGCTCCTAAGAATGTTCTAACACAGCACATCACTTTAATGAGAAATCAGGGAAGACATCGTGCCTTACGCGAAAAAAATACTTTTGGAATATATTTGAAATGTTGTAATACGCAATGAGTTTTTGCTGTTTTTTTTTCTCCAGATATCTGCTGATAGTCATGGAATTTTACTTCAGGTTGCAGCTGTACAATTTCAGGCCGCAGTTGTGGAATTTCTGCTTCAGGTTGTGACTGTATACTTTCATTTTGTAGCTGTGGAATTTCTGCTTTAGGTTGCGGCTACTCATCATCATTATTGTTTACAGTCTTCTTTATAAGACAATTTCATCACTTGTAGGATTGTGTTTTCATCATCATAATACGAAGAAAGTTTTTTGTTGATATTTCTTCTGCTCACTTTTTCCCGCAGTTTTCATTTCCTGGTATGCTTGTACATCCAATCGTAGTTATCGGTATGATTCCTTACTTCCTTTGTACTCTTTTTCACCCTTTATGTCGTCATTGTTACAATTGATTCTGAGATGCCATTGTTCAACTCTCTTATTATACTTTGTTAGATAGCTTTCACTTTTTTAGCTGTGTTAGCCGACTCATTGTCATTGCAGAACATTTTTGCTTTGTCGCACATTTTTTGTTCGTCATGCAATTGCTGCGTTTTGATACTAGTTACCTTAACAGGATTGCTTTCGTTAGCATCCATATTAATAGAAACTGAATTCTAAGTTTTTCTCCTAAGCTTTTTCAGCGCCATTGATGCAATAGCAATACTGGTGGACCAAAATAATGAATTCCGTTTCATTGCGCCTTTATTTTTTCAAACGACAATTTATTAATATATCGCGCATCTTATAAACTATTATATTGAAAACGTCAAATAGTCACTGCTACAGAACAATCTAGTCTGATCTACAATTTATTGTAAACGTCCATTCTACCTCTAAATAAATTAAAGAGGTATATATAGTAAAAGCCTTATAATAAGAAGAAGAGTCAGATAAGGCAGAAACCACTAATCCTCGGCGATAATCCGAATTGGTGGGCAATGACGAAATATGCCCAAATATATCTTTTATACATCGGATACTCTTTTATTCGCTTCTGTGAGGTCCACAACAGACGATAATTTTATGTGTTTGATTGGAAATTTTGGTATTAATCAGCCCGAATCATTTACTTACATCAACATAATAAAATCCTTCGGTATTTCAAAGTGTTACAGCACCATAGGTTCCATAAGACGTTTAAGCACATTTCAGATATCAGTTACGGAAGAAAATCTAAAAGTGGTTGGGACGCCAATTTCTATTTCTTAGATAACACCTACGATTCTTAACATGCTATCCGCATATGGCAAAAACATCTACATTAGCTAAATCGCGTTTACACCTGACAAAAAGCAAGTCACAAATTCGAGACCAATAAATACACTTTTATCAGAGTTGCTGCGAGAACTAAAATCAAAACAAAAAGTACAACAGAGATTTTCACAAGAGCATGTTGAAGAGTTATATTTAATAACTAGTTAGACCGGACAGCCTTATGAAACGCAAAAAAAAAAGAAACAAAAACCATCGCCAGCGCCAGCTAAAGTTTTTGAGAAAATTCCAGACTTTCCAAAACCATTTTTGCTAGTTTCAAATATGGCCAAGGTGGACTATAAGAATTTCATCAGACGTTCTGAAACTAGATTAGAACAACTTAAAAAAGAAGAATTGGTCTGATGAAGAACTAGCAGAGACAAGAGAAATTCCGTAGAATCTTTGTACTAAATGAAAACTTTAACACAAAGAATGTAGGTCATAAATCTCCGCTGTTAAGAGATATTATTAAAGATGGCTTGTTAGAAAGAATTTATGACATATTCAAAACAATTTTGAAAAGGCAGTAAAAGAAGCACAAAGAGCAGCTTAAAGTACTAGAAATAGTTTAGAGATTAAAACTACTAGCAAAAAGGCTGAAAACACTAGCACTGAAATTGACAATAAGATTATAGGAATCCGTGGTAAACTGTATCAGGATAGTTTTCTAAATAGTTCTTCATACAACGATTTGTATAGTGATTTGATATAGCATGGCCTTCCTGACGTCACAAGAATTGTGCTTTTTTTTATGCGAGAAATACCAAGGTGGACATCAGTAATCTTACCGTAACGTACATAATTCCAATGCAGCTTGCTTATGATATATCAGGTTGCACAACATTTTCCAATACAACTTGCTTATGACATGTCAATTTTACTGTAACGTACAGAACTTTATTGTAATTTGTTCAGAGCATGTGGTACGAAATACGAAATTATTTTATAATACGACAGAAAGAAAATAACGCATTTACACAGTAAGTTAGCAATGAACTGGTAGAACTAGCTCTAGGTGATGTGATTATGATTTTTAACGTAGTTTTAACAATTTTTCAGTCATATCGCTACGATGTCAGCAGTGTGGCAGTTTATAGTGATGTCTAGCACTGGGGCATCATGCCGCAGACATGTAGCATGATGTCCCACCCAGTCACATTATCCTGGCAACAGGCCGACCAGTCCTAACACTAACCTCTTAATGCTGAGCGTCAAGCGAGGCAGCTGTTAGTACCATTTTTGTAAGTCTTTGGTATGACTCGACCGGGGATTAAACCCACGACCTCTCGCAACGGAGACGGACGCTCTAGCCACTAGGCCACCGGAGCGGTTAGCTCCAGGTTAATATAGTAACAACGGTATCTGCAAAGAGAAAAGTAATCATTCGGGCGTATCAAGACAGATATCACAACAGGTTCAGTTTATTACACACAACGAATCAAAATAACTATCGCAGCCTATATGCAATTGATTTTAACATTGGCGAATATTTCATCAAGACTGTTTTAGGGTTTAGCAAAGGTTGTGTTTGCAAAGTGGCCCGCACTCCGGAGACACACCAGACCATATTTCTGACATAACTAAATGATACAAAAATTGTTCAAGATATTGATACAAAAATTGTTCAATCACAGAATGATCTTTAGATTTTTAATTCTGTTATTAGTTCTATTCCCGTTCATATTGTCAATAACAAGATTTATTTTTATGATTCTGTGACAGCACTCAAATATAAACCGACTAGTACAAGGGACTGGAATGAGCATGTATACGTTGTTGTTATGAATTTTGGTAAGTACTTTATGCCACAAGACATGTCTCACGTCTCATTTTTCATTGCTTCAAGCAAGTTATGTACGGGATGCTCTCTCCAAGCCTATTATATATAAGAATATTTAGCTCTATAATCGTAAAAACACATTATAAAGATTTCCTGATCTGCCAGCATTTTTGTATAAAATCATCTATGAACTGTACTATCAATAAAGGAAATTATTGACCTCTAACCTATGATTTTCTAACAAATGATACAAGTATTTTCAACTTAACAAACTTCTGAGCTCGTAACGCTTAAGAAAATAATATAATCTACTATCTATTGTTAGATTGGAAAGAGGTGTGGAGATCATAGGAAAATCATAAATGTGTGTTCGGAAGCCCTTTGAATCCAACAGAGTAGAACCCATGACTTGACATAATGTATTTGCGAAGACTATACTACATAAACTAATATTGCTGGAGAATCGGGAGTACCGTCAAGTATAAAAAGTAGCATCTGCGCGCGCCCCCCACCCCCACGTTAAGAGATATTAAGACTTTCACACTCACATACACACACGATTCAGCTAAGACCATCACACACACCCTCCCACTCACACTGAACAGTTTCTTGATTAATACCAACAGATAAAGAGCTAAGACGCTCTGACCTATTATTTAGCATAAAGTGCATTTTCTTATGTGCCATCTTTTGCATCTTCATTATTTGAATTTCCAATTTCACAAGTTGTGATCTTGATGCACTCAAGAGAGATCAACTCACTTATGCAAAAAGTTGGTCACTGTGAGCTACTTTTCAAATATTTAGTAACATTTACTTTTTCTGAGTTCATTTTTAAATGCCAGTCGTCTCTGAAATCCAATGGCACCTGAACTCATGAAGACCCATAGTTGTATGTATTCAAGAAATGCAAACTAATTGATGCCAAAGCAGGCCACATTGTCGTATTTGTTAATGCTTTAGTGACATTTGGATTTTTGCAGATTCGTGTTCTTAAAACTGCCAAATAGGTATTTTGTATTAATGAAACACATATACTAAATGCATTAGAAAGAAATGCTTCAACCAGTATTTGATATTCACAGAAGAAATTTAAATAAAAATCTATCATGGATATAAATTCACCATACAAATACATAGATGATGTTGAGTATTCATTAATGTCCCAAATTTGCCAAATGTTAGAGATGGAATACATTGGAAAGCTTGTAGAAAAGATATAGTTTATGCACAATGGTTAAAAATATTCTTTATATTTATGTTTGCATTAATATAAAATATAACATAAATAACATGATCAAAAACTCGCTAAATTTTAAAACTACATATATTTTATTATGGAATATAAGTGACACAGTTCTCTTTATATACAAGCTTCAAAAAATGATGAAATATGAGTGTATATTTATTTTCA